AAGTATATTAATGAGTATGCTAAGCAAGCACTTATTGAAGAAGCTAAATAATCTTCTTTAAAAGTTTTAGCAAGTCCAAAATCTCCCATTGCAGAACAAGAAGCAAGGAAGAAGATTATTAGTAGGGAGTAGGTTAGTTTTGAAGTGAATAAAAGACATAAATTTCAAATTCATCCAAGCAATCATCTTGATCTTTAGCAAGAAAGATGCTGGAGCACTGCCGAGAAAATGTTATGGAAATCAGCCCAAAAAAGCATTTAAGATACGAGAGGACCTATAAATAAACCATTTAACCAACAATGAACTATACTTTTAGGTTCCGATGGAGAACGAATCCAAGTAGATATTCATTATTGCATTGACTACCCAGAGAGAATGAGTTCTGGGCTAAGTTAATAGAGCTAATGAAGAATCTTCTATTTTGTAAAAAGGAAGTATTTTTATCAGCAAAATCTAATCAGCAAAGAAGTATGTAATTTTACTGGCAAATATTCACACCTCCTCTGGAAAGCATTGGCCATTTGGTTCATCAGTTCAGCCCTGATAAAGTCTAGTCATCCATAGCTCATAAACTCTCGAGAAAAAAGACAATCTAAAAAAAACTAAATTATTGAGTGCATTCTAGTTAAAAATTTTATGGTACAAAACTCACATGTACTATTGAAAATGATATTGTTTATTATTTAGTAATATTTGACAGTACTACAAAGTCTATCTTACCAAATGAGCACAAAGTATACTTACAAAATAAACACCTACAAAGGCTTGAGTACTCTAAACAAGACTAAGATTAGACATTTTGAAGATGGAAACTTAAGAGTCAGTAATTGCTATGGTCCAATGTAAAATACTTTGATCGTTACTTGTTTCAGAAGTAAGAGAAGGGAACTATCAGTTTGTGTTAATAATGAGCTTTTACGATAAATATTTAGGGGTTACTAATGTCATACACCGAGAACACACCATGTTATGTAAGGTAGACGGGACAATATTAATGAATAAAAACAAGTCAAATTTTGTTCCTCGTGCTTTCCAGTGAAATTCATGTGGCAGCTTTAAATTCGAATGGAAAGACGGCAGATGGCAATATTGAAAGATAGAGAGAACCATTCTTTTGCTTAATGCTGGCTTCGGTATAGCAGCCGTCGGAACCAGTAGGTGGACATCTTTGGGTATCTCTTGAGGGTTTTGAAATCAATATAGACAATGACGGACCTTGATGTGTACCTGAGTCTCTTTTCAAAATTAGAAAGCAATGTCCACTGGAAGTAGCTGATCACATTGGCTCCATCATTGCTTGTTTCTTCAATTCTGCTAAATAGCTCTTTTAGTAGTTGATCCTTGTGGTCTCATGTAAATCCTTAGAACATGCAACACTTTCCCAGATCATCCATTCCTGCCAATCATGTGAAAATGATTCAACATTTAGATACTCGATAATTTTTCACCTAAGCATAAAACTTCCTTGAATATAGAATGCATACATAATGTACAATTCTCAGCCAAAATCATGGTAGGATTTCCACAAGTCTCTTTAATGTAGTTAACAGCTTTGTACAGACCCCATGGTACAATGTAGAGCCAATAAGATTGTGCCTAATTATAACAAATTCACAGTGACCTTGTTATTAGCAGCATGATTTCAGCTGAGTTACCCTTGGACCGATTGGCACTCCATGACAATCATCTGGAAAGGCAACATATGAGGTAATGTTATTCAGTAAATTTAGACGTTGATTTCAATGTCAAAAGGAAGAGAGAATCT